GATTACAAAAGCTGACGTTTCGAGCGTTAGCCCTTCTTCGGAGCGAATGACAAAGGGCTAAGGCTCGAAACGTCAGCTTTTGTAATCGTTACGGTGGCCAATTTACCATTTCAACTTTGTTGATATATCCAAATTACTTCTGAGGAATAAATTTGTACATCGGAATAAAATTATCAGACAGATCTATAGAATTCATAGTCTCGATCTTTTAATTTTAGTTTTTGTTTTCTAGCCTCCCAACGATAAAATGTCTACTCGTCCTCTTTAATTCAAGTGTAATTCGAGCTCGCGAAAATATCTCTATTTGCTTCTAGACTCAGGCGTGTTCTAGACTCAAACAATGAACACTTTCCACATTTTAAGAAGAGAAGGAATAAATGGGTAATTGAATACCCTAATTCAATGAGCTACTTGCTGGCGACGTTTTCTTACCTTAAGAGAACCCTGCAGACAGTCACAGTTCGTTTATAATATTGTCATACCGACCACATCTTGCAAAACCGTTTTTGCACGTCCCCGCCGCATATAATGGATGTGTCGTATCGTCTGTATTGCACGTTGTTTTCTTCAGGAACTTAAGCAAGTAATGAGACCAAAAACGTAAGTTTTCCTTTTATTTTAATTTCCGCTAAAATACAGAGCAATTAAACGCGACTGGGGAATAAAATTTACAAGTTGTTTATGGTCGAATTAAATGTAGCTCAGAGGGTATTTAGACAATAACAGGAAAGAAATTTAGACGGATACAACTTCCGAATTTTAATCTGCAATGTCATTTCATTCAAGTATTGATGAATAATATGGCTTCACTTATATTGGTTTAATATCGCCCATTCTGTCTTTAGTTTGTCGACGTGAGAAAAAAGCCTTTTGAATTGTAAAGCCATTTCACAGACAGCCTCACTGAAGAAGGTATCCATGACGCTAATTTTACATATTCAACCTGGATCTTACCATTGTTTCGGCCTGGCAAATGGGTCTGTCTCTTTTATCTTTCGTTTACTAAAGAAACAGTTTAGCCATGTTTTTTTCAATGAATTAATCATAGAATCGAGGACAATGAATGAACTGTGAACTTTAAAACACACCCATAACTGATTCTGAAACGTGTTGATGAAAAACAAAACCGGATACGGGAAAAGCTGTGTCCTTATACGAAGAGACCCGTCCGAATTTAGTTAAAGTTAAATTACTTTAACTTCGAAAAAGCGAAAGGGAAGTGATTAAAAAGTAAATGATTCACCTCTATTCGTGTATTTGTTTTAATTCCTGAGATCAGGCTGAAATAAAGTTTGAAACTCAACCTAAAGAAGTCTTAAATTTTTGCATTTGCATTATAAACATAATTAAACAACTGAGTATTTACAATTCCTGTCTGCCACATTTTTTTCTTCGCTCTCAAGGTGCAAAATTCACGACTCATTTACATTTATTTGAAAACACCATCATGGTGGTTTTAATTAATGCGCGGTAATTGGTTTAAATGTTTTGCCATATGCTGGTAATAAATTTTAATTGTTAATTTTTGGGTATCTCGAAAACGCAGACCGAGAAAAATTGCAGCCGTTTTAAATATTCTCCTACAAAAAACATCTTTTTTAACACAACCAAATGTCGAAAACAAACTTTTTGAGGCAAGTGTTTTCGAGAAACCCCGAGGGTTGTCTTGAAAACGCAAACCTCGAAAAATTTGTTTTCGACATTCGAAGAGAACCGTGGTTGTGAAGTGATAATTTTTTTGGCGAGGGTGAAGGAGACAAAGATGTTACAAAATCTGCGGCATCTACTGAAGGTTGCTGTTTATCCTAAACTGGTTGCTATAATGATGGAATACAAGTGTTTTGATTTCCTGCTATTCGTTCTTAATGTTTAGGTTTCAGATCTCCTCGAATTTTTCCATTGCCTCGATAGAATACAAGCAGCCGAAGCCTTTCAACATTTTTTTACCAATTTTTCCCGAGGGACTTGAATTTTTGCATTCAAGGAATGTGGTACACCGCGACTTGAAACAAGGGAATATCTATTTAAGGAGCAATATATGGTTTTGTCCCGCGCTCAAAGTTGGACTTCTAGACGTGAATTATCGAAGTATTATCGAAGAAACCGAGAGCGACTTTCACCAAAATTTGTTAGTTTGCAGACCACTGGCTCAACATGAAACAAATCTTCAAATTGATCTTTGTCGACTTCCGTTCGCGCGTAATGNGGGCAAATTATTTTAATTTACAATTGGAATTCAACGCTACTTTTATGCGTTATGTCGAGTTTGAGGTCTGGCGCCCTATGAGACAGTAAACACATGCAGCCATTTTGGAAATTCTAACTAAAAGTAGAAACTCATATTTTAATCGAAGTCTTCCGTGGCGTTGCCGTCGTGACTGCTTAAAGTCCCTAATGGTGTTACCAAGGTTAAAATCTCTTGAAACAAAAGTCTGTCTAGGCGGTGAAATTGTCTGAATTTTTTAGGGTCTTCACAATTAAGTTCACGAACAATATTTGCACATGCACCTTGTGGCTGGCGGCGTGAAACCCAAGATTTTTTTAGCCGCCCTCTAGCGCCTTCGCCTTCGTCGCAGTAAAATAAATTCCTAATTAAGATTTTATTCTGTTTGGTTTATACCCTTTTATGGTCTTAACAGATTATTTACAATTTCATTTTCCTTGTTCGGGAAAGAAGTCCAGTGAACAAAATAATTCAAATAAACCAGTTCCGAATCAATGAATATTAAGATCTAACACAGTATAATCAACAAGCAGAATCTTTGTTTTCTAAGCGATCAAATAAATATAAAAATTTTTTTTTTGGATAAAATGTAGAGTTGAATTCTTTCAATAAAACTGAGCGATATGAAACGTTGAATAATTTGCTATTATAAAATAAAATAATAATAAAACCGTACAGGTGGCGCGAAAAGTTTAAAGATTTCTATCGAGCTGGTAACCATGAATGACGGTCATAGAAATGTAGCAAATCAACGAAATGTTTTAATAATCTCTCAGGAAACATCATTTACTCTATTTCTTCGTGGGTATCGAAGAGTACAATGAACATCTCGACGTGAAATATTTTGCATCGATAATTATACACACTTTCCCTTTGGTGCGTCATTGTACCCGCCTCCAAGCTCGTTTTTTTCCTAAATGTAAACACTGTTACTTTCCAGTCAATTTTAGATTCAAAACACTAAAAGGGACCTAATCAAGGAAATTAAGGAAAGTTCTCTTGTTGTTTACTCGACAGGAAGCGGTAAATATTTTCAAAAGGAGAAAACGTACGTGATTACTAGTGATTGGCGAAAAAATATGACTGGTTTTCAAAGCACGCTCGTATTCTTTGTTTGCTGTAAAGGAGGAATAAACTGGTGGAGCATTTTTAATACTCACTTTTCAGCATTAAAGATGCGCTTATGTTATAGACATTTAATATGAAAAGAGATTTTTAGAAAGGTGTAGGAAAACCAGAATTCCATTGCATGGTCAAATATAAACAGCAAACATAGACATTGAAACAAAAGATTAAATTTGTATCTAAAGAAGAATGTTACCTGAATAACAACAAACCACAATATCTGCAGAACTGAAGATTGTATAATGAGTCCTGTTCCACGAACATGAATCTACTCAACACGTAGTTTCTTCTCCCTATATAAAATTTTTGTTTTCACGCCTGGTGATGCTGGACAAAGTATGTAGGTTCTTAAGTTTTTCTCAAACAACCTGGGGTTTAATGACGTCCGAACATTCTAGAAGTTCGGGGAGGAGCGCAGGCTCATTTCTCGATCAGCGGCAGATCACTGCCGTGTGCTGTTTCAAGATCACGGTGCGTTATTCTCGCTCAAAGCTAATCCTCAGCAGTTCCGGGCGGGCGTGGAGAGGCAAAATTAACAAAGAGGTAGGTAGGATTTGTATTTTGTTAGCTCCACTTTTAGATCAACGATTTTATTCGCATAGAGAACGTAAGTTTCTAAAGAAACTGTGGTGCTGTGTCGGTGGGAGTTACAATTGTAACAACTGAGTTGATAATGTAAATTAGCCATCGTAAAGAGTTGCAAAGCTTTTATTTGCATCCAAAGTAATGAACGCACTTTACCAATCAATGGCCGAATCATAAGTCAGGCTCTGGACTCCAATCTCGAGCCCAGTGTTATTTTGGCCCCTTGTCTTATTTTTACTTCTTGTGGTCACCAAAAGGAGCCAAAGTGACCCTAGGCTCGAGACTGGACTCTCGTTTGAAAGTCTGCATTTACAATTGAACCCTAGTTGGGTCGTGTTGTGTCGTGTCGTGTCCTCGGTTTGGGACGACTAATACCTTCAGTGGACTTTGCCCCTTCCCCCTCGGGGTATAAAAATTTTTAAGTGGTACAGAATGCTTTCATGCAACATGAACCAAAAATTCAGGAGAAGTTACCTGCTGGCGAATGGCAGTAGTATTTCTCTCCCCTCCCCCCCCCCTCACTCTCTAGACATCCTGGTAATCTTGAAAGACGACGGTTCACCTTTAAGTTTCAAGTGTATGTCAGTTTGCGTGAGAGCATTGGCCAACTGCCCCCTCCCAATCTTCTAAGAAACACCCGGGCAGGAGATACCCTCCCTATTTTAGTATAGGTAATCACATGATTTCGAGTGCAATTTAGAATAAATAAGCACGAGTACTTTTTTTTCAAAGACTAACAAAATTGCATGAGCCCATAGGGCGAGTGTAATTTGCGGTCTTTGAAAAAATTTACAAGTGGTTTCTTATACCAAATTGCTCGAGAAAAACCATGTGATTACGTATTAATAATATACAGGAAAAATACGAGGTAGCTTATCATGATTATGTAGAAGAAAAGCGCGCGCATAACGTGCAAAAATAATTTATTCAAACCCTGCAAATGATATTGTGCGTTCGGTCAAAACAACCGCGAAATGTTCAGCAAGCAACCGTGGACTATAATCCTACTCTTGTACGTTGGATCAGCAGTGATCTAATCGCCCCAAAATAACCAATATAAATATAGAGGCAAGACCGATACAAAGTAGATAAGTTTTAAGACGGAGCACTATATTTCGGCTGGCCAAACCAGCCTTCTTCAGGTGCAATGGGAATTGACAAGGTGGTACTTAGATAGCTGTATGATGTAATAGCAGAAATAAGTAAAACTAATTTGATTGACAATGAGATAACAATTAAAAATAGAAATAGTAAATAAAATAGAAGTAAGGTAGGGTAAATAGAATAAATTAAATAACTAGAGGTAAGAATAGTAGAAGGAAAAACACTAATACATGTCTTCGCGAGCGTTAAGGCCATCGGGATAAATAGTATTGCCTCTTGAAATTAAAAAAGTTTCCCTGGCCTTTCGGATCGAGTCTCTCTTGGAAAACACTTTTTCGATGGCGATAAGCTCCATGTCGTAAGCAGAGTGATTGGGAGAGGAAAGGAAGTGTTCTGCGACTGTGTTAGGTTTAGATTTAGGGTTAGGTTTATCAATGGTACGGCGGTGTTCATTAAAACGGTCTTTTAAACGTCTTTTAGTTTCTCCTATGTATTGTAAGTTACAGCGATTACATTGAATCAAGTAGATAAGGCATGCGACTAACTGAATATTTTTTCAACGAGAACTGTGACAACTCCAACACTAACAAAAATGACACCCTTTCCATATCAAGAGCACTTGGAACCCCCCGCATGACCGAGAACGAGCCCTTGACACCTTTTTAAAGCTGTTAAACTTGACATAACCACTTGTAAACTGAAAACTATCCGCGACAATCTCACTCCTACAGAACGACAAGCCATACGCGAACTTAAGGAACGAAAAGACATAATTATAAAACCCGCCGAAAAAGGTTCTCGTACTGTTGTTATGGACACAACTTGGTACATCGATGAATACAACACAGGGAGCCCAGACAAGCGACGAGTCTGGTTGTTTATTCGAAATATAAAGGAATGTATGGGAGAATATTGAAGAGTCTTATTATCGTAAACTTATATCATGAAATGTCTGAGTTAAAGCTAAAAATAAATGTAAACCTACCTCACTTGGAGTGTATTGTCGTTTCTGTGGCTCTAAATAGTGAATTTGAGCGATTTGGTGGGTTTTGCGTCGACTGTTACTATACGTTATAAGACAAGGGTTACGTTACGAGGGTGGAAAGCTCATTTTCAACCGCTCTAGCGCGAAGCCGATTTTCACCCAGAAATAAGAATCGCCCGGCTTCTAAATCGAAAACCAAATCGAGAACCATTTAGAATCATCCACGCTGATTGGATGATACTAAACAATGCCCGATTACAAATCCCTCATGTAGGAGGGGAGTCAGGGGCATATTCGCGCCAGGCTAGTCAGTAGATGACCAATCAGCGTGGGGCAAACAGCGTGACGGTTGCTCCTTGGCACACGAAATCGGGGCCACGGATTCTGATCGCTTCGAAAGCTGCATTTCTCGAAAATGTTTTGGCGGTTACCGCTTGCATTTTGAATGAATCTTCGACTGAATGCGACGAGAAGACGCGTCAACCTTTCAGTTTATCTGGTTTTCGATTTGGAAGCCGGAGAAACGACAATACACAGCAAGTGAGGTAGGTTTACAGTTATTTTGAGCTTTAACTCATACATTTCATGATATAAGTTTACGATAATAAGAATCTTTAATATTCTCCCATACATTCCTTTATATTTCGAATAAACAACCAGACTCGTCGCTTGTCTGGGCCCCCTGTGAATGCAACAGACAAGTTCTGACACTAAATTTTATAAACGCTTGACCAATGACATCACTGCTGATATACAAAAACGTGTTTAATACCTTTTATGTTAACAGGATGCATAAAGACAACCTTATCAACGAAACAACCAAACAATACCTCTTACAGACTGACGTAAGACCTGGACGATTTTACATTTTACCCAAAATACACAAACTCGGTAATCCAGGACGCCCTATTGTCTCATCCAAAAGCCATCCCACTGAACAGCTATCCCAATTCGTTGACCGCTACCTTCAACCACTAGTTCACAAACTACCATCTTATATCAAAGATACCAATGACTTCCTCAAAAAACTGTTTAGCATTGGTAATTTGCCCCTTAACTCTTTACTAGTTACACTTGATGTTTCATCACTCTACACCAATATTCCACATAAAGAAGGTAATAATGCTTGTGACCCTTTTCTGTGTACCTCCTCCCATACCACTATTCCTGCCGTCACACTCTGTGACCTCATTCGTATGATTCTCACCATGAATAATTTTACTTTTCATGATAATCATTACCTCCAAGTTCACGGTACAGCCATGGGTACCAAAATGGCCCCTTCCTTCGCCAACCTTTTTTTGGGTCTTTTCGAAGCTAACGCTTTGAAAAATGCCCCATTTCAACAACACACTTGGTTTAGATACATCGACGATATTTTTATGATCTGGACCGAAGGTTTAGATAACCTGAAAATATTCGTCGATTATCTCAACAATATTCACCCCACCATC